TTTTTTCCTTTAGCAACATATTTTCCATGCTGTATCTCAGAAAATCTGTTCTCTGGGCACTGCTTGTATACTTTCTGCCTAGGGGGCTTTCAAAATTAAGTAAGAACAAACAGAAAATGGCATCATCTCAAGGGTTTCTCCCCTCCGCAGTGTTTTGCTGTGAAGGAAAAGGTGGCAGCAGTTTGTGTCTTGGCACGAAGTAGGTGCCACTTCAAAGCTCTGCTGCAAAAGTGTATGCAGACAGGGAGCAGAAGGCGATTTTAGCTCTTACTATGTCAGAGAAAAATTAAAAATCTGAATTCTCTCAAGCTTCTCTTGGAAGAGCAAAGCTAAAGACTGGAGAATATCCAGAATCTCACAGCACTCTGAGTCAGAGAATTCGTTTTAAGACTGCCTGAGGTTTGTAGCTGCTGAGTATCACTAAGCAGTCTCTTTTGAGGGGGTAGGGAGGGAGGGATGGAAACTGCTTTTTGAGGTAAACTGTTCTTACGATTAGTGTTACTGTTATTTGTATTGGGCTAAAAATACAAATGTTTGTGGGATCCCTTGGGCGAGTAAGATTTACTCAAGTAAATGAGGGCTGCATACAGTGTGATAAATTCACACGCTTGCTGACAGTTACACCTGGAGTCAGGGCAGGCTTTGCTTCTGACTGCAGTAGCAGAAGGATTTTGACATGGGATTTTTTGAGTCTGCTGGAGCATGATGTCTGAGAGTGGAGCCCACCTCACCTCAGCCTTCCTCAGCAGGCAAGGGCTGATAACCAATCACACTCACAGTCAGGACTGACTTGTTTGCGTAATCGATCTCAACACGTACATGTATACAGATGGAGAAATTGTTATTTCCATGTTATTATTGCTTAATGTTATAAACAATATGTTGATGTTAATGTTAAAATATTATCTATATTCACACTTTTGTATATACACATATATATATCTATACATCATACATATCACAGGCATATGTTAAGATACATATATTCACATACATATACACACACATTATTATATACACATATGACAGAAAGGACTCGTAGGAATAAGATCAGCTGGTCACTCAGCTTAAGGATGTCCACATGATGGTGGTACAGCTAACAGTATTTATCATAAATTTGTTCCAGGATAGTACTAGTCATCTGCTCCTGAGTGAGGAATAGGTAATAACTTGTAAGGTCAGAGATTGCAAAAATAATGATCAGCAGGAATAGAGAGACAAAGATGTGCTTATGGGAGAAGCAAATGGGTAGCGTATTGTGGCAAGTTCTACTAAAAGAAGAAGGAAGAGAAGAGAGGTAGGTCTGGAAACCAAAGATAAGAAGTTTAAACTTCTTCAAGTGAAGGAGAAAGACCCTGATGATGAAGTCATGACAGAGGTGGTGAGAGGAGGGAGCATGCCAAGCGGGGCAATGGTGGAAGCACCAAACTACAGTCCTCTCCCTGTACTGAACTCAGGAGACTGAACTATTTCTAAGGTGACAAATAGTGATACCCATCCCAGGTGGTTCAGGTAGATGATAACTGTTTCTACAGTTGTCTATGCCATTAGCTCAGCAGCAGATGGCCAATGCTCATAGCTTCACTTCTGTTGATTAGATATTTTGAACCATAAGTAGGCAATTCAACTAGAATTCGTATACTTTGGGTTGTTTTTTTGTTTGTTTGGTTGGTTTTTTTATCACTATTTTAATGTGGGAAATTATACCTGAAAAGGTACCGCAAATTAAGCACTTAACAAATGTCAGCATGTTTGGTAATATGACTTAATCTTTCTATGCCATAAGTTGCCTGTCTAAACAGTCACGATAACACCTTTGTATATCTCACATGGGCGTCAAGGAGAAAACCACGTTGCCTTTGGTTCACTCAGTTGCTGTAGTGACGTTTGGGAAAACTAAGAGTTTTCTGTTCAAATGAAGGTTTAGGTTGTTCCTCAAATGAGGTCTGGGCCCCAGGTTGAAAGGTAAGGTTAAAAATTTAGGCAAAGAAACGGTTCATTGAACACAGTGCAGTCTGTATCCTAAATGAAGCAGGGATGGCAAAGGTGAAATGTAACAAGCAAATAAAAGCTGTACCATCTGCACACCCATCAGCGTTCATTCAAACATTTCCTGACTTCTGGATGCTTGACTTTGTAACTCTCTTATTTTAAAGGAATTTACTGAAACATAACAGTAGTCAAATGTGATTAGCTCAACTGAGTAGTTTGAGAACCTTAAAGCTCAGTGCAATTGGGCAGTGATAATCAAAATACTTGCCTGTGTAAATGTGAAACGTATTGTATAGTCCAGAGTCGGTAATAAGCAATAAATTATAATGATGAGTCCACCCTGGCTAAATAGCACCCAGTATAGGTTCATAAGTAGACAGGCTACTCATTCCTCCTATACAAGGGGACATATTTTTGGTCGCTTTGATTTAAATTAAAATTCTGCCTTTGTAGGAATTAAAATGATGATACTTATAGTGAATACTAGCATGATTTCTAATGTTCTTTCCATGGGCCAAATAATATTTTAAATAAATTATCTTTTCAAGCTGAATTAACTGAGCTTAATCAGTTTAAATAAAAACAACACTCATGGCTAGCATTTTAGATGATGAAGGATTGGGGCTTAAGCTTCTTATCTCTTCATAAATTTTCTAATCTGTGAAATGGAGATAGTTATGTCTAAGGGATGTTATGAAACCTATGTAATGTTAATAAAATGCTTTGAGGTCTTCCAGTAAAAGTGTAAGGAGTTAACGTCTTTTAATGCCAATTGACATTTTCCATTATAATTAATTTGATACAGTTGTTAATTCAGTGTTGTAGAACTGAAAAAATGCACCATCCTGAAAACTAGAGAGAGACATTGATGGGAGGTCTGATTCAATGTTCTTGAACTTGATGCAAAGAGCATCCTTGTTTTCAAGTGGGATTGGATTAAGTCCCACAAATAAATACATGAGGGATCATCTCGTTTCACTGTCCCCAAGAAAACAGATGTAAAAAGGAAGCAGAGAGGAAAAATAATAGGAAGTAAATTATACCTGTAAAGCTGAAATAATAATAAGAGAAAATATATGTTCACCTACATGAAAAACTCTTTGCAAGAATAGGGCACGCTCCTGTGCTTTGTTTACCATGCCATTAACATGTGTGACACACAGTTGCAAGGCATATACCTTACCGTAATGGGGAAAAATTGGAAGAGCTCCTGCATAATTTAGGATCGGGACCCAAGGCAGTCTAACCTGATCTGCGTTCAGGCTACCATACTCTCCCCAAGAAGGCTGGCTTACACAGAGAGTCTGCAGCCACACTCACGGGCTCCTTTATATTGTCAAATGTGATTTGAATGCTGTCAAGGTTTGACCTTTAACAGGCAGGTCCCGCAAAGTACCTGAGTATATAAACACAGACCTAATGCCAACTTACATGTTCTTGTGCCAGTACTGTTTGCATTCACAGGCTGTTGGTCTCACAGGCATGGGTAGCTTGAGCTGGGCCGGTCAAAATGGTTACTGCCCCCAGTTCTTCTGCCGGGAGTCAGTGCTTTTTTGGCAGGGAAATGCATCCCATGTGGAGCATGTGCTGAATCCCTGCACTTTGCAGTGTGAGAAATGAACCCGGTGCTGTAAATCTGAGAAGCACAGGATCTGCTTCGTCTTCTTTTCAACCGTCCCCTTCCCTGGTGGAGGAGGGGAGTGGGAAGCTGTGAGCAGTGATGCCTTCAGGCATCTCAGTTCAGCCAGCCTGGTTGCAAGTCAGCAGCTGGGGTTACCTGCTGTGGGGAGAGACGTTTATCAGCTGTTACGCATGGAGGGTAAATTTCTCAGAAGTGCCAAACTACCTCTCTCCGTGCCTTCACAGGAGCCATCACTTCACCGTATGGCTGTTCACTCCAACTGGGCTGGTGCAAGTCGGATTGACAATACTTCTTGCAGTATTTAATCTGCATAGAGCAATTAGACTGGCCCTAGGGAGTAATTGGATCACCGGAGTGTTTGAATTAGTTGATGAGATAAATAACCTTATCCCATAGCGTTAATAGGATGAAGTCTAGCATGGCTGAAGCTTTGCCACATGCCCTCAGCTTGAGCTCCAAACGTCACTTGGGTTTTGATGTCCATATGTAAACAGAATCAGGATGGGAGATTAACTTTTCCTAACAGTGAAGACAGGATTTTACAAGTGGTGCTCACATTTTATGGACCCATGCACCATGGTTCCATGGATCATTACAGTGGCCTCCCAGATCACTGACCAAAACTGTATTGGTTTGGCAGTGGGGTGCAGTGGGGAGTTATTCTATTTTGCCATCTGTAAATGCTTTTCCCTATAAAACTATTTAGCATTTTTCCCATGAGAAATAAACATAATAATTAAAATGCTTCATGTCACAGTCTTTTTTTGTGTGTTGTATGCTTCTTTTTTTTGACCTAAAAAACAGGATGCTGCATTTTTTTCCATGGAAGCCAACCAGCCTGGATGAGGATGTTATTCCCTTTTAGAACAGAACTTTCTAGCTTCTGTTTAAGGCGTTTTTTTCCTTTTTCCTTTAAAACATAGTTTGCATGTCATAAAGGCTACCCCGTGAGTTGCTTGCTCTGAGCAGGATTTGTCTCTCCCAACTCAAAACATCTACCAAGCAGACGGAGGTATCTCCAGCTGAGCTAGTCACCCCAGTCAATGGTAAACAGGTGCTTTTACGTATTAAATGCCTATTCTAGTTCAGTTTCACGCTGGAAGTACCTTTTTCCATTGACTGTAAAGGAAGCCTCACGGAGCCTCGCTCAGCTGAAGGTATGGGGTCAGATGAATCCCCCCCTTCTGTGCCTGAAATTGTGGGAGAATATTTTCAGAGAGCATCCATGAAAACCCAGACCACTTCTGCAGAATCAGAGGAAACAAGATTTCTCAGGGTTTCTTTAAAATAAAAATCTTTTTCTACATTTTTCGCAAGCATCAGCAGTACGAGAATAAATCTATTCTTAACTGTGCTTTTTCTTTAGTGTTGGAAAGGAAGATTTCGACAAGACAAAGCAGAGAGGAGCTGATAAGAAGGGGAGTGCTGAAGGAAATGCCCGAGCAAGGTGATAACACGTTACCTAGAATTTAGCTGCTAAGTGCTAAACACGGATGATAAAGCCACTATTGCACTGTTTCCATGTAGTATAAATAGGTATGGGGAGACAGAGCTGAGGAGTGTGAGAGGTAATTTGGGCCAGTTGACAAAAAACTCAAGTTGGAGTTGAGAGATCGGTGTTCTGTAACTGCTCCTGCCGTAGGTACACCACCTGACTTCTGGTCATATCCTTGAGTATTTTGATGCTCCCTGTAAATAATGTGACTCCTGTGGTTCCTACTTACTGTTTGCCAGAATTTTTTTAAGTTAGTGATTAACGTATTTTTTGAGTCGAGGTCTGCTGTCTAAAGCAACTGGAGTGTAATACGAGAAATTTTGACTGAAAAATCAGAGGCTTTGGGACCCCCAAGCAAATCAATAGCATCTGTTTCAGGTATCAAAAAGTACCACTGCTGGGATCGTACAGATCCCACCACTACCACACACATCACATTCACAAATGGCACAAACATAAAACTGTGGGGAAGACACCACTTGTTTCAAAATGCTATAAGGTTTAGTAACTGGTATTAGCCAGAATTTGTGTTTTGAAAAGCATGAGTAAACCATGGTTAACACCTCTGTGCTACATCTGATTATGTTTGTAGTGGTATTCTTTCTAATATTCTTGATCTTCTATAAATCTAGGTCAAATAAAAGTCAAGTGAGTAAAATAATTTCCTGTAGCTTAAAATTAAAACATTCGTCATTTTGTCAAGGAGTCTAAGAACTCCATGATTTCCAAAAATATTTTTCTCCTAGAAATTGTGTTGCTCTGCCTGAGCTGAAGAATCGTGAAAGTATCAATGTGTGTGGTTCATATCGTACACATTAATATTTAGAAGTTAAGGGCTTGTTTGTCGACACGTGGCATCACTTGTCTTTACAGTGTTTCGCTAATTACCAGGCTATGGCATTCAGTGTAGCTGGCTTCTGAACCTTTCTCTGCCACTGTCTTTGACTTAAAACAAGAAATGCAAACTCTCCATACCTCAATTTGTCCCTCTGTGAGTTTATTACATTTTTTTGCTACATGCTTCACTGGGAAGCTGCATGGCTTTGTCCATTGATGGTTGTAAGTTGCATTTAGACTGCTGGGACAGTTAATGAAATGTGTTAACATTTCAGGTTGGTTACAAACCGTCTGAACATAAATACTATCATTTGTGCTAAAATTGTGTATGCTTTGGTCGTCAGTGTCCTTGATCCTCTATTCCGCTCTTAAAAGAGGATGGGACTTTGGATCCCTTACAGAGATTGAGCAACATGAGAAAAGGATGTAAAGATGAACAATTTTCTCCCCTTCCTTCCATCTTAAGAAGGCCATCGATCTAGTCCGTGTTGCTTTCATCACGTTGTGCTTCCTGTCTGAGGAAATTATAGTTTGCAAGGAGCAGTTTGAAAGAATACAGGATTGGTTTGAAGGTGCTAAAAAAAGAGATACAGAAAAGGCAGTGGTTGAGCAGTGTGAAGGTAGTTAGAAGGAATGACTATGGAGATGAAAGCTAGATGGGGAAATTACATGGAGTCTTGAAATGTGAGAGGTAAGAAATGTGAAGTGACTGTTTCACGTGGGATGAAGAAGAAAGAAGTGGAAAGTGGCAAGTGCCACTTGGAGGCAGGAGGTGTTTGCTGAACCATGGCATGGATAAGAGGTGGGAATGCCACATGTAGAGGCAGAGAGGAAAGAATGGCTTTATAAACATCTGGAAGAAAGGAGCTAAAGAAACTGAATGTTGCGGTAAGGTAAGAAGGAAGCCTTGTGCAACTGTCAGCTATAGTGAATGAGACAAGGTTAAGAAGGCAGAACTTAGTTTTTACACATCAAGTTGAAGTTAGTGTGTGTGTGAGATTGAAACCATCAGCTTAACCCATAGAGCAGCCCAAGGTAGTAAGAGAGAGGCTGCATAATTGTGTTGAAACCAGTGAACTGCCAGACATCCAGGTCTGATAGAACACAGCAAGAAAGAGGAGGAGGAGAAGGGAGTTGGAATTACCACAATTAATGAAGAAACAACGGGAGAAACCAGAAGAGATGCCAGGTAGATTGGCATAATTTTTGGATGGATAGCAAGAGAATCCTGCAGAAGGAAAGCAATCATCTACGTGAACTGCAGGTGGGGTGTGAGCAACATAAGGATAACAAGCCTTAGAAATGACCAGAGAAGTAAATGAACAGCAATTTTAAAATGCATGGAACAGAGAACAGAAATCAGTAAATAAGGGAAGAGAGAAAGCTGTGAGCCAGCAAGACTATGTAGCATTTTTCAGGAATATAGAGACAAACAGGGAAGAGAAAGAAGTTTTTTTCAGGATTAAAAAAAACCTCATAGCTGAGGTAGTCTGGGTAAGTGAATAAAATATCATCAGAGCTGGAAAAGAATTTGACTTGCAGAATTTAATAATGGTATCATACGTGATACAGGAAGACTTCACCTTGGCTCTTAAGACTAGGCAATGACTTTGTGACCTATTTTATTCATTAACTGGGCACACATATTCTGAGAACTTCTGTCTGAATTCCTGGCTGATTTACCTACTGGGGTGCACCACAGTAGTCCTGCAACTCTGCCCCCTAATTGTCCAGATAAGAGGCCTGTTGGAACACGTTGCAGCTCTGTTGTGGTCCATGCACACATTTCTTTGCTGTGTAAACCAAGATACAGGGAGGAAGAGAACGGGATGCTAATGTGTACAGATACGAAGCTGGACCTGAAAACACACGTGCACTCCCAGGCCCACTACTGCAGACGTGTCTACCCAAAGAACATGGAAGCCTGTAGAGTTCCTTTACAGCGTTAACTTTTCAGAGTAGATCTGCAGCCTGATGTTTCATGTTTCAGTAAGTGTTTCTGCTTTGCTTCCATGGAAACTTGAAAGCAGTGGGATGCTGTGTGTTGTCCATAGGTGCTAAGGAAGCAGTTAAACTAGACAATAGCTTTTTAATTTTCATTTCAGATGGTGATGTAACAGTAAATTTTGAAACTTCAAATGGACATACCATAGCCATTGGTGAAGAAACCATACAGGAAGACAATGTGGTAAAAGCCAGTGGAGATAATAGTACTTTATCAGAGAAAGCATCAGCATTGGAAGGAAAAAAAGAAGATCAAAAAGGTAAATGAACACATTCTTCACAAATTGTTTTTCGCCTACTTAAAATATTAACATGTTCTTCCGTTAGCACCAATACATGCTGTGAGTTCTGTTCTGCCACAAGGATGCCAGCAGAACATGCCGAGAAGATAAGACTTGTGAAACATCAGTATTTCATCACTGGTAGGCATGCCTTTTACTGTGGATATAATAAGGTTATAAAGAGAAGCATGGTCTGAGCATGAAAATGTGTGCAGGGATGTTTGATTTCTAAATTCAATGTGAGCCTTTCCTTGTAGCCATAGGCAAGCTTTGGTTTCAGGTTTTTCTTTTCTGAAAGAAGACACTAAGTGCATATGCATCACCTTGCAATATCATTGCAGAAGTGGCTCACGGGTTGAAAGTTCAAAGTGTTTAAGCCACTTAAAAACCATGTATCATTTTGAAAGTAACTTCAGCAACTCATTCCTATTGGTTTTCACTAAATCTTAAACACTCGCAGTCGAGCTCTTCAGAAATACTCAAGGGGCTATATCACTACCGCAGACTGAACCTAGGTCATTTATGGAAAATGTACTTTATGACTATAGGGTTTTCTATAGATGAATTGCAGTAAATACTGCTAAATATTTAGCAGTTCCAAAGTCCATATTAATTTTGTTACCTTTGCTCAGATCTACCTTGGTAACAAGAGTTTGACTGAGTAAGAAAAAAGTAAAGATTAATGCGGAATCATAGGATTTGGGCCAGTTTTATTTTCTTTCTCTAACCTCTTGAATAATGCACCACTTCTTTTCCCTGTCACAAAGTGTTCTTAAATATTATTCCATTTATTGGATTTTCCTAGAGGAAAGAGCAAGGATACAAAAGATCAAGAACTTCATGTCTGGCTGTTAGACTGAGCAGCCTTTCCAATGTCTTCTAGTAAACTCTACCTAGTGATGAATGAGCCTCTGGAGGTTGAGAGGGTCAGTTCGGCTAACACAAAAATTTGAATTCTTCTCTGAGCTATGTAAATCACTTGACTATGTAAAAAGTGGCTGGATGTCCAAGGAGAACTGCCTTTCTTATGAGATTTCTAGTACTTCCTGTCTCCCAACAAGACAGAAATACAAGATTAGCCTTTTTCATGACATTTAAATATGTCTATCTTTTGGTGCCAACTAGAACCAGATGTGTATTGGGTCAGGGGAAAAGAGTTATAAAAGCCATGGAAAACTCCTTTAAAATGGTTCAGGTTAACTTTGGGGTTAGATCAGACCACTTATTATTTTATGCATCCTGAAATACAGCCTTTTGGAACTGTCACGTCTTGGAATTTTTCCTAAGGTACAGGGGTTTTTTAGAAATACACATTTCTAACTATGTTGAAATCCCCTCTAGCTGACTTCGCAGAATGTAGAACTCCAATGAAGCAGGAAAGGTTCAATATCTATTTAAACACGTTATTACACTCTGCACTCCCTATATATTGTGTTGACCTCACAGGGAGAAACTGAAAATGATTGCTGTACAGGAGCAGAGTCAGTACAGAAGAATATATAGCTATCACACCAGTCCCTCTCAGAAAATGAAGTATATATGGAGAAGGGAGAAGGAAAACAAAAAATGAGCAAAACTGGTATTCTAGGCTTCGTAGAATGTCAATATGACCGTATAGAAGATGCCAAACACTTCAACTATACTTTCCTCTTACATCTAAACATGAAGTTCTTCTACATCTTCAGTCCCCTGAAAAGGAACAAGATAGATTTATTGCAGAGGAATAGTCTGCCCAAAAAAGGTGTTAAGAATCAATTCCACACATCAGCAACGGTGTTACACAGTGCAAATCCAGTACAACTCACTGGATAGTCATTCTGAATACACTTCAGTTATTCTTCATTTCATAGCACATTAAGCAAGAAGGTGAGCCAGTCTGTTGAACTCAGTGGAAGAGCAAGGCCCACTGCATCTCACAGATGCATCTCACCTGACAGATTAATCCTCGGTGATTTTTTATGGCAGATGCAGTAGGTATGCATTACACCTACACCCACTGGCAGAGCGAGGAATTAACAACCACAAAGTGGAGGTTTGCTAGTGTTCACAGAGCATCAAAATCAGAGCTGAAGCAGGAATACCTAGCTCGCTGTCTTCTGCTCAGACCATAAAACATGCTGGTGTATCAGATCACAACCCTCCATCATGAGAACTGAGATAGGTGGAGTGAATAATAGCTGGACAGTTGGGAGTAATGGATGCAAGGAGTTCATCTTTAGTGAGGCTAATGTTTGGCTTTTTAGAGTCTTGAACTCTTATGTGTAAATCTCGAAGGAAGTTATATACACTTTACATGTTTATAAGACCTGAAGACAGGATTAATACCTGCTGTTCAGTAGCATGGTGTGCTGCAGTTCCAACTCCAGCTGAATCAGTGTTCCAAAAAATTCATCTCAGCCCCTGAAAGTTAAGAGGTTATTTTAAAATGCTTTTATGAAATGGTGGTGGTCTTTACTTGCTCTCTGGTTCAAGTGGGTCTTGAAAATTCTCATATAAATATGATGATGACTGCTGGAGCTGGAAGCTTAAAAAGAACAAGTGATACAGGCACATTGTGATAATATGGTGAGAGTTGGCAGCAACGCATGGTAGAATGTGGAATATGTCAGGAGTTAAAAGAAGTTAAAGGAAAAAAGTTGTTTCAGTATGAGCCGCAGAAGTACAGTATCAACAGGGCAAACAATAGGCTCAGCCGTGCAATGTAAAAATGAGTTAAGCAGAAGCGAGTGAAGAAGACGACCCCTGAAAGCTGTTCCCTGTGCTGCCAGGCAGTTCCATAAACTGTGTACCCATCTGCTGCCTGTCAGCTCACAGGTGCCTTTCGTATTTGGTGAAAAAATTCCCTTTGGCAATTTAATAGTGTAACTGTTACTGTTTATAGTAATGATGAGATGTCAGTCATCCAAGCGGGGTGTTTAAAAGGAAATTTCTCCTTTATGTCAGGATAATAAGAAGCTGGTGACAGTTTTACATAAAACAGGTAATTGATGGATAAAGCTTTGCAGATGAGAAATCAGAGAAATCTTTTTTCTAGATCATTTATTCACATTATGTTTGTACTGGGTTGAGTTCTGAATTCTTTTGTTTTGTTTTGTTTTGACTAAGAAAAGTCACGAGCATCTTTTGCAGAAAATAAAGAGCTAAACTGTAGCCAATCTCTGTGAGCACCCTGGAAGGGATACAGAGGAGCGAGTAGACAGGCAACATGTTAAAGTACACCCTGGCTGCCCGGGCAGCAGACCAGACTGTACCATCGTGCCAGGGCTCCTGACCTGTGGCGCTTGTCTGCAGTAGCCCCTGCAGACCCCAGCGCTCCAGGTTCCAGGTGGGGTATGAGCATCGCAAAGGGGATCCAAGAAGTCTTTCTGCCTCCTGCCCCCCACAGCAGTGTTGGAGAAGACCAAAAGCCACATCGGTAGAATAGGTGTCAAAATTGTCGCTGTTTGCCTCCCTAGGTATAGGGACATAGCATGCTGACGCAGCATGCGTGCTGCACATTGTAAAACCTCCTGGTACTGTGTCAGAGCTGCTTTTCTCCTTTCCACTCTCCCAGGATGTCTCTGGCACACAGATGTTCCAGAGAACCCTGAGTCTGTATCCAAGTTCAGTTTGTAAACTTAGGTCTTACTCATTATAGCAAGCTAAATCTTTCAATGATTCTGGTAGATACTTCTACATTTCATTGTTAGCTTGGGCTTGAAGAAGTGAAAGGCTCAGTAACCATTAGCAAGATACTGCCTGGAAAAAAGTAATAAATTTCATTTTGCGTACCATCAGTCAGGTGTGTTAGATGCTGCTTTGATAAATAATTGCATTGCAGGAAGCCAGAGCTCTGTTGCGGGTGCTGTGGGTGTTGTGGGTGACATGGAGCATAAGCTTCTGAAGTGTTCCTATGCCATTTATAGCAGACTGTTCCTCTCAGGTTTTCTCATGTCCTTCAGTGAAGGAAACAGTTTGTAGTCCTGTTTCCAAATGAATTAATGGGATACATGCACATAATGTTTTTTCCCCACAGGATAACTCTAATATGAGAGCTGGCAAAGGTTCCAGGTCTTAGTATGTTGGGTTCAGAGGTTCTTTCCGCTATACTTTGTCTGCTCTCCCTTAAATCTGCCATTAAATTTAATCTTTTATTTTTCTCATGGGTAACCAAAAAAAAGAAGGTTGGAGGCACAACCTCTGGTCTTATGAGCATGAGTCATTGCTGACCAACACTTTAGTTTGTCTACCAAGGAATGTTCTTCAAAGTCAAATTTTCTAGGTTCCTTTTCTCAGAGGTCTTTGCTTTATTTCCCCAAAGCAGAACAAAACCTGTTGAATTTAAGATAGTAACCCTCACCTTCCAGGGTCTCAGACAAGAGCCTGCTTTCTCTCAGAAGACTAATCCTACAAACCACTCACTGTGAGAGACAAGGCAGACTTTCTTCCCTCTTGTGTGCCTAGCTGGCTTCCTACACTCCTGAGTTCTGTAGATCATCGATATGAGCACTATACGTTAAAGGGTTGTTTTTTTCCTGAGTCTCAAAGAACCTCTCACTCCAGCTGAGTTATTTGCTGGCTAAAACCAGTTCTTCTAAGAATAGTGTACCTTTGATTCATCACCTGAACTATGTAAATGAGGCTGAATCCAAATCTTCTTAAAAGGAAAGCTACTCTAGATAAAGCTGTATTTGGGCAGAGCCTGTCCACTACATCAGCCAGGCTGGCTCGTGCGAGTAGGCTGACGTGAGAGGCACGGGCTGTCACCCACAAAAGCTGAGTGGCAGAGGAAAGCTCCTGGTTTGTAAAGCTGCTATGTTTTTTTTTTCTTTTATAGGAAAGATATCCTAATGTGACTCCAAAAATAAGATTGTAGACGTGATTTTAATGAACTAACCACTGAATTATTTGAGCATATCTATACAGAAAGTATAAGAGAATGTACATGCCTTTCACTTTCCAAGTCTCCCATAGACCAAGAAATGGTAAAAGTATGCAGC